AGGCTTGAGGTCAGCTCCATCTGGGCTGAAATGCGGACTGGATTTCCTAGTAGCAGTAATCTCTAAAAACAGAGATTATACCAAGATGTATGTCATGAAGTCCTTGAAAGTGAGTTTGAGTATGTGAAGCATTTAGTCCAGAGCTTGGAGCACAGAGTTAATACTGAAATTATGGTAGTGGTAATGATGTTAATGAGTTCTACCACAGACGGAGTATGTGCAAGCCCCTCCCAACAGTTCCTCCAACTTGTGGTCTTGAGCTCTTTCATCAGCAACATATTTCTTTCCATTTATCAGTAAACAAGTTTTAAAAATCTCTCTCCCTTTATCCCGTAGTAATCACAAAAAGAAAGACAAAATTAAAAGTGAAATGTAATCACTGTGCCGGTTGTTTTGTCTACTTGAGAAGCTAATCAAGTGCATAGTGGTCGCCCTCTTTGGGGAATGACCTGCAGTTAGATGCACTGAGGATGACAGTTTCTGGGTCATTCCAGAGATGGTCACTTTATTGGATGTTTTAGAGTTCTGAAATCATGTTAAATATGTGCAAATTCTGTATGCGAGAAGGAATCATAGTAAGAATAATGGGCATGAAATAAAGGTTCAGTACATTTACAACCATTTTTATTCAACAATAATTAGCATGTTTAAATATAATATAATTTTATCCACCTACAAAATGCTTAAATGTTTGGAATCTCATTTATGTCTATAATGACAGATTCATTTTTGAGGCAGTCATTTTCGATCTTGATTTGTATATTTTAAAGTTGTTAAATGCTTGACTGAATCATTAGCAAAACAATTCATGTATCATTAAACTGATTTCTAGCATGAGATAATTTTTTTCCTTGCCCAATAGATGTGCGTCTTAAGATTTACTGAGGTAGCTTTTATTCCTTACTGTTCTGGGGGGGGGGCTGTTCAAGAATTATAGAGACCTTACCACCAGATAATTTCACCATCTTAATATCTGCATCCCCCTTAAGAAACTCAAGCCAAAATTGTTTGCTGAGTGAATATTAAAACACTGAAAAATACATTATGTCCCTGGGGAGGGGGCAGGACAGGCTATAGCCCTTCTCCATTTTAGTGGATTAAAGAAGAAAAGAAATGAATGAGGGCAGGGAAGGAAAAATTCCCGGACTCTCTGGGCCCCCATTGAAAAGAGGACTCCATGGCACCCCCACCCCCAGCCTAGCACACACACTGCAGTCTTAATGGCCCCACACTGGCCAAGACTATGCTTCCTCTATTGCCCGCACCCTCCCATGCATGACCAGACTGCAGCTCTGGAGGCCTGCGAAGACCTGTGCCGGGGCAGGCGGAGGGCAGCAGGGTTGCTGCCTCTGTGTACGGTAAGGGGCTGGGCTCTGTTGGAGCTAGCACAGCTCACTTTTGTCTGGAGGGCAGAGCTTCCTTCCCTGGCTCCCAACAAGGGCCAGGAAAACTGGGGACAGTGTAGGCTATCGGGGCAGCCCCTGGGGGCTGCTTCTCCCAAAGATGAGAAGCCTGGCCAGCACATGGCCCCTTTTCAACCTTGCCAGCCCCACACAGACCTTTGAACTTTCTATTTATGTAACAGTCCCGTGAGTGTAAGTCTCTTCCTGTATAACTGCCCCTTTGCAAGGTCCCCTCTAATTAGGCTACTTGTGAGACATCACATAAAAACGACACACAATTGATGCTGTCTTTCGCAGTGAGAAGCCGGCCACTGTCACAATCACTTAACTACCATTTTCCCTAGGACTATTTGCATTTTGGTTTTACTATCATGGTGGCTTTCTTTTCATCTTTTTTTATTTATAAGAATTTATCCCTTTTTGTATTTCCTTCCTTCCCTCCTTCCTAATTAAAAATAAAACAGATGAGCATCCCATAAAGAATCCTGGCCTGTTACAAAGCAATACTTCATCAATACTGGAGGGCACTACTTACAAGACTGGAAACCTGTATACTTTGTAGGCTGTCTGAATTTGTTTTTTTGTCCCTCTTAGGTAGGGATTAATGACTTTGCTGGTAAACACACCAAAATCTAGCCACGTGATCTCCACACACCTCCAAATTCATTTATTTGATGACCATAGGCAAGTCTACTGAATGTTTTAAATGATGAACTTTGATTTTTTTTTCTTTCCCCTTTTTCTCTCTTTGAGAGCAAATCATCTCCCTGGTGCATTACAGACATCTGTGCCTTCCTTTGCCTTCACAGAATGGTTTATATTAAATTCAAACTCAGGTGAACATTGCTCATTCATCTAGGAATCTTAAAGAATTTGAGCTCTGGCCCTTTAATCGAGACCAGAGCATGACCCATTAAGATATGTTTGCAGTTGGTGAATCCAGGGAGATGCTCCATTAGGAGTGTGAGCACTCCCAGATACTGCACCTACCTGCACACTGCAGCGTCATGCGTCGCCTATTCTTCCCATTTGCATTTGCACTAACAAACGTGCGTGTTTGTAAGTGTGCATGCACTTTTTTGTTTACTAGGGTCAGTGTTTGCAAATAACACGTATGCAGTGTATCCACTGTCTTTGTTCATTATGTCTAGGAAAAGGAGTTTGTTTTGAAGCTGTCTTGTTTCACTTACTGTCAAACACTTAGGCTTAGAGAAAGCTCCGGGCTTGTTCTACAAGTGACTATTAGGAATAGGTTCAATGTAAACATAAAGGAGCTTCTTAACTTTGTAGGGGGTCTTTCCCTCTTTGGTCCTCCTGAGGGTTTCAGGGGAAGGGATGTAGTCACTTTCAAGCAGCTACTTACTCTCAGAGAAGGGCAGTAAACATCTAATGAATATGTAACCACCATCCTCTCGATGACCAAAGAGAGTTTCAAAGATACAGATTTCCATTGAAGACAATGTCAAGCTCTTCAGTTCACTCACCATTGTTACATTTGTGTTTCTTTCTCTACTTGCATGTACAAGACACAGAGGCAGAACCACATTAAAATGTTCATAAACATAGATGCACAACGAAGCTGGCCTGACACAGTTGAACAGTAAGGACAAATTGTCCTGGATCATTTGCACAGAAGGGAGCTGCAGGCTTATTTGTGCATACCTGATACACTAATTCCTCAGTATTTTACATTATACCCACCAAATGTCCAAGTCTACATTCTCCTTAACTGATAAGGCACAGTTACAGTTCCAGAGGAAAAAGCACTTGGGGGTTCTCTTTAAGAATAGATAGCCACCCAGAAGGGAAAAGGCTCATATCTTCCAGAAGACCAGAAATCAAACATAAAAGAACCCACCTCCTTTAAATATTCAGCTGCATGTGAGTAAGATTAAACTAGAATTAACACAATAAATATGTGTAAAAACTGATACTGTGTATGTGGTTTACATTTGGATTCCCCCCATGTGAAGTCAGTTATAACAATGTCTGTCAAATTAATAATTTTATCTATGCAACATATTAGGCAAATTGCATGCAAATAATAATGCTGTGGTTATCAGTTGTCTGCAAAATAAATTAGTGAAGCAGAGTAAAGGTTTGGTGCAGGACCATGATATTTCACTGAACAATGATTTTATTGCTATATTTACTTTTAAATCACAGCATAATTATTTTTAATGTAACATTAAGTCTTTCTGCAGAACTCATACAACTCTGCATGGGTTTAAACATGCCTTGAAGATTAATACTGATACACTGTAATTTGTGCTTCAAAGATTTACCTGGAATTGCTGTAAAATAAAACATATTTAAATTCAGATTATTTTGGGTTTGCAATTAAAGGAGCTATGAGTGGCACGTGAAGCTATTGGCCAAGCCTATGGCCCTCTTTAAAAGAAAGAAATTGTCTAAAATATCGCATCACCAAGGGAAGTCCTCATAAAAATGCACAGCATTCATAGCCAAGGCTGCCGCTAGTAGTTGAACATTGCAAAAGATTTCGCACTGTTGGTGGGTACTATCGATTAGATTATTCTAACTACATTTAAAAGGACTAGAGCCAAGAGTGCAATTTTAAGGCGCTGCTGCCGCTCCCTACCACCCCATTTAATTCCTTGGCTGTAAGGAAAACTGATACGTTAAAATGTTCAGACAAATAAAAATCAATAACGTTATGGTAGAGGTGAAGTTTTTAAAAAGTTAATAGGTGTATCAGCATTTATGCATGCGCATCTGAGTATCACACAAGGAGTTAACAACTTTCTGGCTCCCAATCACCTCTACATCATCTTTTAAAATCTGTGAACGTCAAGTTCAGGATATTTTGTGAAGACCAGATTAAACCTTTGAATCCTTGTGTGTCTCTTGAAAACCTAGAGCTGCCTCCCAGTGGGAGGCCGACGAGGGTCTAGCCGGTAATTAAATGTGCATTGAAGTCGGAGCAACGGACTTCAAAAACCTTCAGTCTTGAAAACCAATCTCAGAAGCGGACCCCAAGCCAGGGTCCGTCGCGCGGTGGTACCCGAAAACACAGCTAGGCGCTGGAGTGCCCGGGAACTTGGGCTGGGCCGGCCTGGGGGAAGGTGCGTGTGCCACGCCATGCATCGCCCGCCGGGATGGAGGGGTCGGCAGCGAGGGCAGTGGTCGCCCAGGCGGCGGAGGGTGCTCAGTGGTACCTAGCCGCTGCCTTTCCTTGAGCCCGGGCACCTGGAAAGTTGAGGCATTTCAGGCGGTCAGCATCTAGGGCGAAAAGAGGCCGTGCCCAAGAGCTGCTGGCGAGAAAAGCCGGACGGAGGTCTTGCAGCTGAGCCCCCAGGTGGGTGGCACCGAATCTGATGCGGGCCAGATGCAACTCTCCGGACTTGGAGCGCAAAGCGACGCTTCTGCCCGCATCTCTCAGTATCTCCGCACCTCCCCCCACCCGGACACCCGACCTAGGAGTCACTATGGCAGGGGCCAAGGGTGACCGAGAGCAAGTGTGAGGGCACCTGGGGTGCCCCCCGCGACAGCTAAGGCTCCTTTTAACAAAGGCGAAAAGCCCAGACCCCATCGGGGCCCCACTCATCAAAGGGGAAGGCAAAAATCAACACCTACCACTGCTGCTCCAAGTCCCAGTCCCTGAAAAAGTCGAATAGATCCATAGCGGCCGGGTGGAGGTGGCTGGCGGGCGTCAGTCCCTGCTCGCTGCGGGTCGCGCGGCTCCGGGTGGCGCGGCGGGCTTGCTGCCCTGGGCAGCCTGGCTCTCTGGCCCTCCGGTCTGGCTAAAAGTGCCCGGGCCGCATTGGCAGCGGCGGCGGGCGCTGGAGGTGCCTGGTCCTGCGCTCTGGAGCGGGGGCGGAGGCGGCACAGGGCGGGCAGGCGCCGGGTCGCCCGCTCGAGTCTGCTCGCTGCAAGACTGCCCAGCGCCCCAAGGCTGCGGCGGCGGCAGCTGCGAGCCGCGTCCGGAGGGGCCGCCCGCCTGGCAG